AGCTGCAAAAGCAGTAGAGGAAGCAGCTGATGCTTTCAGTTTGGCTTTAGAGGCTTGCTGCCTTTATGTGCTGTCTGAATGTGACCTGTTGCAATAATTTCATGGCCAAAGGTCAGAGATACGAGGCGAGACAATGTCAGCTATGGAAGTCATACAAGGACAAAGAATCCCAATGTGCTGAGTACTGTTAGGGGTTAGACATTAGCAACAGAAAAACCTCAGGGGATTTTTCTTTTGTAATACAGAACACATGACTAATATGGAGTACAAGTCCATGAGGGAGCTAAGCATCATAGCAGTGAGCCTTTGCAATTCTTCATGAAATTACCAGCTGAGAAGCCAATAGAAGAATCCTAACAGTTTAGGGACCGATACTGGTGAGTAAAGATGAAGTAATGTTGGCTGTCTAGAGCAGTATTTTGTCTGCTTTTTATCAACAACCCTGATTCTTCATTTATTGAAAATCTTCTCCTACATGAGTTAAATATTTAAATATCTGTCACCCCTCTCCAAAAGAATAGACCAGGAAGAAAGTGGCAGTCTTGCACAGTTTAGTCTCTAGGGGTTCCCTGGTTTGTCCCTACCTGAAAACCCCTGTATGGGGATGTCCTGTTAAACAAGAGGAGGTTGGAGCTATAGCGATTGCTTTGCCTGACTTCTTGGAGAGCTGGGAAGCATTACAGTGTGAGTGGAAATCACACTGCTGCCAAGGCAGCTATGTATCACAGAGAGCCAATAGCCCCAATATGAAAAGCTGCAATGGGAAATGAGCAATAGTTTGTCAGTAGGGCTACTGTACTGTGTCCACAGGTGTTATTTGCTGAATTGGCTCAAACACCAGCAAAATACTCGCACCCGCCTCACCAGCCTCTCCAGCCGCCTTCTCCTGGGGTCCTCGTGCTCATCCATCCAGCTCTGCCTCACTTCCCAGCAGCTGAGCTCTCTCCGTGTGTGTCAGCCTGTTAGTCAGTCCAGCCCTTAATGCTGTGAAGTTCACTGGCCACATTTCCCCAGAGTTACCTGTTCAGAAATCAAAAGTGTTTATTCAGACAGATGCATAAAACCAGTTGTTAGCTGGGAAAACTTGTGGCTGTGACCCAGAGTGAATCATGCCTGTGGCTGGCACAGCAGTTCTGGGCTAATTGCCCACAGGGGTTTCATTTTTATACTATCTCCTCTTTTCTGTGAGTTTGCCTTTACTTTTTTCTCTGTATTTTCTCTGTGTTCTCTCTTAATTTCCCCCTTGCCCTTTTGATTTCTCCCCTTTTCACTAGTTTATATTATTACAGCACTGTCTTCTCTCCATTTTCACCAGAGAACGTCACTATTTCTTCTCTTCCACATGCATACACACACACATATAATTCCCAAATATATTTAAGTGCTATATTTGATAGCCTGCAACATTCCTGCATGTTCTCACAGGAAGGGTGGTAAAAATCACAAATACCAGCAAAGATCAAACCAATTACTGCTCACATGACGTGACCAGGTACAGTTTTATCATGGATTCAAAGCAATCCAACCTCAGACTGCTGCCAGAAGGCCCGGTCCCATCCTTTCCCCTGCTCCCTCTTTCCTGCCTTGGGTTATCAGTAAGATGGTGACCTGGCTGAAGTTTAATATTGTTTCTCTGGTTTTGCTGGGTTCATATTGAGCTGGTGCAGCAAGGTCATGCTCTAAGGCTTTGTGTTTGTTAGTGCCAGCACAAGAAAGGTGCCAGGGAAGCACAGTGAACAGAGCAGGCAGGTCTGCCCTTTGGGTGGCAGTGTAGTCCTGGAAGAGGGTTCTAACCCTCCTGCCATGGGCAGGCACACCTTCCACCAGGTTGCGCAAAGCGCCATACAACCTGGCCTTAGACGCTTCGAGGCATGGGGCAACCACAGCTTCTCTGGGCAACCTGTTCTGTGCCAGTGCCTCACCACTCCCATAGTGAAGATGATAGTCACCCTCCGAGTGAAATTAATCTTCTTCTGGCAGTAGTTATATTGCAGAGTGATAAGATACTATATAACTATTTTAAATATTTATTTATAGAGAAAAAAAGAATTTTGTTTGTAACAAAACTTGAACTTCAGACAAGACTAGTTCATTGCCAGCAAAAAAGGCAATTCTGATGCCTTATAAATGACATCCAAATGACATCAGCCAAAAGGCTGATTAGATAAATACACTTACAAAGAATCTGTCTGGTATGTGCTTGGCAAAAAACCACACCTATGCCTAGCAAAACAAAACCAAACCAAAACAAAGATCAGGGTAGTTGCTTTTGTGCCTAGCTCTAGGAAGTATCTCTTCCAGGTGTTTTGATTCTTGGAAGGAGTGGTCTGTTATAGGGAAAAAATAGGCATGAATGCATGTGATAACCTGCCGATGGCCATGGTGCTCTGCAGTTTAAAGAACAGAGCAAAACACTTCTTGGTAAACAACACTAACTAGCTTTGAAAATAAAATGTTTCTGATTCCAGGGAATATGTGGTAATCTTGTCTACAAAGAATGTGAACTAAAGTGGAAGAAAACCAAAATGGGACATCTATTGCAGCACAGTCAGGCTAAAAAAATTTACAAAATGTTGTTTTCCCTGGCAGCACTTCTAAAATTGCTGTGGCTACGTTCCCTGGGAACCTCCATGTGGCACAGGGAGGGAGGGTCAGCTCTTCAGCTGATTGCATCAGTGGCAACACAAATTGTGTGCCAAATCATTAATAGATATATTGCTCTTCAGATTTCAAACTCAAACTGGGTTTTCCTGTGGGAATTTTTAAGTAACAGTGGGAGAAAAGCATGATCTGAAATTCAAAGATACTAACAGCCTTGTGAATTCACGATTTTTTCTTGCCGGGTGGATACTTAGTGTTTCTTCTCCCAGAGAAAAGAGTTGCAGTATAAAGAAATGATACTCCATCTAAAAAGCAGCAAACATTTTAAAATCTGGATTCCCACCGAACTGTCTCAGCAGGGTGACATTACCACAAGCTAAAGCAAGAAAAGAAAGTAGTTTTTGTAAATTCTTGTTTTCGAAGTGGATTCCTCTCCCCACTTGCATAACAGCCTGTTGTACTTGACATAGACTGGGGAGCAGGGGGGGTAAATATTAAAGCTTGTCTTTTTCCTACAGCAATCTGCAGTGGAAGCGGGGCCGTGCAGGGCCTTTTCTATACAGCATCTGACTAAAACCTAATATTTCTCCTTTTTTTACATTAAAACTAATGATAACAGATTAAAAAGTTACATGTAAGGAGTAGGCTCCTTAGTAGGCTTGTAGACCTAAGGAGACAGATCTTTGGCATGGATGCTGCTGAATGCTTCAAAACTTGCTTTTCTTCCAGAGGTGTGTGTTTGCCTCTCTTAGCCCTTCCTTTACTGCGAGCAGGTGCTCCTGGAAGAAAAGCTGAAACGTGTCACTGCAGGTGGCTGCAAAAACAGTACTGCAAAAGTACGATCAACAAACTTTTCAGGGAAATGAAACAGCTGTCCTTGAGAAACCAGAAAAAGACTGAAACTCTTATTTGCAAGATCACATTTGTCATGAGGAGCCAGACTTGGCTTCTGCATAGTTTTTGTACAGGTTAAATTATGGCAGCTACTGATTCTTCACAACATGAATGCAGTTAGACCAGTACTAGGTGACCCCGCTCTCTCAGGTGTCAGCATCTTTAATTCATACTAGCAGGTCTGCACTGAACTAGTGGTAGTAGCAGAATAAAACCAGTAAAGGAGTCTTGTGTGGACAAGCCTCATGAGACCCAACAGTACACCTCTTATTCCTAGTATTTGGCACCAGTATATAAAATAAAAGGTCACAATTGACAGTTTTCCTTGGTAGTGGTGGTCCTACAGGTGTTCATTAGGTATGTGTATTAATTTTACCTCCCAACTCCCATGCCATAGAAAGTTGTACAAAAGGCTTAGCTGTTTATCAGATTTCTAGCCTTCATCACTAGGACAGAGCTGAACTTTGCAAAAGGGAAAAGACCCCCACTACTTTTGCTTTTTAATGGCCAGTGTGGACATCATAGTCCCTGCAGTCCTTTGGCTCACTCTTTGCCACCCTGTCTGCACCATGTGGGGAATGGGAACAAATATGCACTATAAATAGTGTACAGGTCATATGTGGGGAGCAAGTCATGACCATTTAGGTTGGAGAATTGCCTTGGATTCCACTACTGTTTGCTGAGAAACAGGCTTTTAATCTATTCAGGGCAAAGTTTAAAAAATAAACATTAAAATTAAAATCCTGGATAGCCAAAGAGGATAAAATCTCTCTCCTTCTACAATAAGGGGACAGAAAGATAAGATCATTGCTCATTTTCATAGTATTTTACCACTACAAAAATGTAACACACTTTAGTCTCTGGGGTTGGGGGGGCGGGGGAGAAATCACTATATCACTGTCCTGATGTGGTTCTTGGATAGTGTTTCAGATCCCTCCTGATTCAGCAGGTAAATACAGGAGAAGGCGATAAACAAATGTTATATTCCCGTAAGACCATCCCTGTTTTCAAATTTCTTTGCAATCCTTGAGAACTTTCTTAATCTGGAAGTGGAAAGACTTACACTTTGGGGTGGAACAAGAGAAGTACTTTGCGTTTTTTATATCTTACCACCACAAAAGCTTTGCCTGTGTGGTATTGCCCTCTGGTGGCACTGGTCTGAGGAGCTGCACAAGTCCCAAAATGGAGCGTGCTGGTGAAGTTCATCTCCTTTCAGGGTGGCTTTCAAGGGCAAGGATCTGAGTGCTCATTCTCAGTTGTCTTGAGCCACATAGTAGTCATGGTTTGATTTATTTTATGGACAGGGTTTTCTCTTAATACAGTGTTAAAAGCATTATAGGTCTTTGATAATAATTCATTTTCCAGTGAATATTCTAAGAATCCATATTCATTTTCACATAGGACCTGCCCTTTGAAGGCAGTTGCATTAAACATCAATGCAGTATTGTATGATGTGCTTTGAAGTAAGAGAAATTTTCTTTTTTTCTTCTTTTTCCTCCCCCTAGTGCCACCTGATTCACTATCTAAGACTCAGCCATCACTTGATAGCTCTGAATTACTTGATTTGTACCTTTGACAAGCTGAAGTCTGTCTCCTCCGAAGACATTAACATCACGGATGCTGTTTTTGATGGTGTGGAAGTCAGAGTTTTTGAACCCCCTGCAAAGCGAGATGAAAGGCTCAAGCGCAGTGTTGTTTACATCCACGGAGGGGGCTGGGCCTTGGCAAGTGCAAGTATGTGTCTGCCAGTAATTAATAGGATTCTGGTCTGGTTTTCTCTTAGCAGGAGAAGCCAAAAGCTGTTTTTCCTGCCAGGATCAACAGTTTTGCTAAAATGTACCTGAATTCAGTAGTAACTGTCTCCACTCTGGTAGATCAGCTCTAAGGAGAGAGGGGGGAACATACTGTGAACACACAGCAAAAATGCCTATCTTATCTGCACATGAGCTGTAAAAGGACAAAAAGGTTAATTTTGTTATATCCTGAGAGGACAAAAGAGCTTATTGTTTAAATTCTTGGTATGCCTGAATGGGCTGTTTGGGCCAGTCCCCTGTTTTCTGTGGTCATGTGCAAAAGTCAGTCCTTGGTGATCAGGATCCAGTGACTGTGTGTAAGGGTTTTGCCCCATTTTCCCAGAATAATTATCAGAAGAGTGAGCTGAACAACAGTGCGTGTTTGAACAGCATTGCTAATGTTTGGCTCTTAATTAACACATACTTGGGAATACATGTTGCTGATCACCGACAAGAGGCAATGTGATGGAGAAACAGGTAGAGATCAGATCTGGTCATGGTCTGGCCCCCTCCCTTAGGGGGCCACTACCACCACTAGCAGAAATTACATTGATAATTAATGCTGTTTACTCAGTTAACTTGGAAACCATAAACATGATCAGAGAAACTAACATACAGCTATAGACAACAGTAAGCTAACCAGTGATCCTTCCACATTGAACAGGAGGAGAAAGGGTGTGTGGTTCTCATGGCTGCTCTAAGATCCAGAGCCCAGAGGAGTCTTCCCCCTTTTCCTTCCCCATTGCTCCCGTGCCATCATGAAGTCCGTACAGCCCTAAAGCATTCTATGGCTTCATCTATAGAACATTAATGAGTTTTTATGAAATGTTCAAAAACAAATACTGTATTGATTGCATTTGGACTATGCATGTTTGAGTCTCTTAGACCATAATTTAAGTGAGATTTAGGTCCTTAAATAACTTCAAAATCTGTTCTTCACGTGCCTTGGGAAATCCCAGTCTCTTTGTCCTGTAGTACTATAGAGTCATGGAATAATTCAGGTTGGAAGGGACCTTGAAAGGTCATCTAGTCCAACCCCCCTGCAATCAGCAGGGACATAATCCACTAGACCGGGTTGCTCAAAGCCATGTTCAGCCTAGCCTCAAACACTTCCAGGGATGGGGCAGCCACAGCTGCTCCAGGCAACCTGTGCCAGCGCCTCATCACCCCCACCTACAGCAGTTAAAAATTTTGCAACTCTTCCTACAGAGTCCTGACTAAGGGAGGTTTATTAGTACCCTGCCTACCTCATTTGTTCTGTAACAGTTTGCATATGACTTGTGCAAAAAGTTTATATTAAATTACCATGCTTTATTTGGATCACTGTAACTCAGCTATGTCAGATGCTATCCTCAAGTCCAAGATGCAGAAGTTAATGGCACAAATATTACAACTAAATATTAAATTCTAAGACTAGCTACTTTAGAAAATACTTAGTGTCAGTATATTTTATATTACCGGGAACTAACGATTAAGTAACTGGAAAGGAATAAGATTAAAGAAAACCAGTCCACTGATAAATAGGATAGCTGTTATTAATCTTCCTTTAAATGAGTAGTTCAGTTGACATTAATAGGGCAACTCATTTGAATCAAAGCAATGTATGCTATAATAAAATGAACAACAAGCGGTGATTCATACAGTGATAACTGTCTTTGGATGCTAATGCCCCCAAGCCACAAAGTACCTTAAATTTTGCCCAAATGAGAGAATTGTGATAGGTGGATGAAATGACATCCCCAAGTCACCAAGAAAGAGATGAGAAAGAAGCATTAGACTGCAGGACTTCTCAAGGCATGAATTATGTTCCTTCTTCTACGGTATGTATTTGGCACTTTATCTATTGCAAGCTGATCTCATTTACTTGCTCATTTACTTATATTTGTATGATGTCTTTATATTTTCTGAGAAGGCTTACGTATGGCTTTGCAACTATTGACACAAATGGACTTACATGTCCCTAACACTGTGTCCTTTCATTCCAGGAACAAGCCTTTATAACAATCTCTGCAGAATCATGGCTGAGTCTCTCAACGCTGTTGTCGTCTCAGTTGAGTGAGTAATCTAAAACCGATCAAGTAATTTTAAGGTATTAGAAATATGTAACACAGTTCTTTCAGCTTTTCCCTTGTTATCGGTTTGTGTATAGGGCTTTAACATGGACAATAATTGTCCATAGCAGTCTGATATTTTTATCCTTTTAAAATTACAATAAATTGGAATGGTATCAGAAATTCATTTGGATTTCTAATTATTTCAGAGGTCATTTTAGAAGGCAGAAATGTGGGAAAATAAAGTAGCACTGAATGCATTTGGACAAATATGAAAATGCAAATGTTAGTGCATATTGCAATTGTATCTGCATTTAGGGAGATGAAACCTGAGATCACTCAAGTGTCAAGTTATGATTCTGTAAATACTTTTGAACTTTAAAAGCAATCAAAAAACCCAAACACATTTGGACATGATATCTACCTGAAGGAAAGCTGAACCACATCTATATGCCTCCTTTTGTGGCAAGAGGGACTCTTCTGATCTTCAGTTGCCACTCCCACAAGATATATTTTTAATATATATTT